GCAAACCAAAGCACAAGAGCAGCGCTCAAAAGAGAAAGGACAAGAGAGGACAAGGAGATGTAACAGCTAGACTGACAAAATCAGACCGTTTTCTTTGTCATACATCGTCCTCGAAATCGAGCGCTAACGTTAGCAATGTTGACGTGCAGCCGCAGCCGGAGGCTAACTATAGCTCACTTGCCTCACCACCATCATTGCCATCTAGCTCCACATGTGAACCTTCTTCTCCTGCCAGACAGGAGGAGAGGCTGGATTTGCTGTGCCCGGCGGTGGTCCAACAGTTCCCCCAAGGGCCCCAACCAATAGGGGACTCTATGGCACCATTGAGACCCCCGACGCCAAGATCAAAAGCTATATTATAGCAACCTGTCTATGTAGGCCTACTGGCCCATCCCCCAGAGACAAACATCAAGGAAACAGGTTTAATCCTCTTCTGAGTTTGCTGTGCCGTCAGGCTGTGGTGGTCTGAGGCCAGGGCACTGTTGTGGCAGGCTGTTGTTGATAGCCTATACATGTGGCGCTTCTGAGTGGTTGTGTATGTCCGTGCGTGTGTGAGCGCATCAGCGTGCGCTTGTGTTTGGGGCGATGGGGGGGAGGGGCCCCAAAACAATATTTGCACCGGGGCCAATCACAACCTTGTTAAGCCACTGACAGCCCTGTATAGTCCGTTTGAGTTTTGCCCGTTTGAATGCAAACCGAACCTTCTGAAAAATGAAACTAACAAACTGTGGACTGGTGCGCACCAGAGAAGCGAGGTTCGGTTTGCATTCAAACGGGCAAAACTCAAACGGACTATACAGGGCNTGTGTGTGTGTGTGTGTGTGTGTGTGTGTGTGTGTGTGTGTGTGTGTGTGTGTGTGTGTGTGTGTGTGTGTGTGTGTGTGTGTGTGTGTGTGTGTGTGTGTGTGTGTGTGTGTGTGTGTGTGTCAAGGGGTTATAAAGACAGAATAAAGGAAGCAGATATAGAGGAAGGAAGGAGATAAAGTCAGGGGGAGGGGATGCATAAATATTTTGGGGATTTACATTCCACGTTGGTTTGCTCATGAAGCTGAATTATAACAAAACTTCAACAAACTGTCGTGCTTAAATGACAGAACAATGCAATACAACAGTGAGTCTGGTATTCTACTACAATTGCATACGCTGCGTGGATACTAAACGCTGAGGGCATTAAGTACAAATATGACAAGAATCTATGAGTGATAGAGAAATACTAGACAATAGACAAACGTTCATATAAATGTCATTTATTGACAGGAACATCATGGGAATATTTAAGAAAATATGCTATTACGCAATACAAACACACCAATGAATGTATTATAGGGATAATAACATGTAACAAGTATCTCGATTATATCAGCCTACAGTCACGGTTGAGAAGCCTGCCTCAGACACGTTAGTATGTTTGTGTTCTATTATAGCAATACTTCAAGACTCCCGCAGTGAAAACGTGTTTTCTTTTCTTTTTGACCAACCTTTCAGCCTTTCAGTTTACTACGTTACCTTTAAGTGAGAAACACGTACATACCTAAGACATAGACTGCCTATTCAAGCACTTTAAAAGTCACAAACTTTTAAAATTGTAAGTTTAAAGATGAATTTTCACTCACCACAGTTACCGGCGGTCTTCCCTCTCGGGGTTAGTCTGACAGTAAAGTGTCTTTGAACCTGTTGTAGTTGTCTGTCAGGTAAAGCCGCCGCAGTTATCACTCATTTCCATTTTTATTGCTGTAGAATAGTTAGTTAGTTTAGACTTCAAACTCTGCAACATGCAGGGCTAGGTGCCCCGCCGTCACTGTGACGTCGACGCCCCGGATCACATGACAGGAAGTGAGCTGCGGGACGTAAACAACTTTACTATATTAACCACGAGGTCTGCCTTTCCACACACACACACACACACACACACACACACACACACACACACACACACACACACACACACACACACACACACACACACACACACACACACACACACACACACACACACACCTGTACTTCTGTTAGTTTGATCATCTATTAGGCACTTAGGTACTTTGCCAACTCTTGCCTCCTTCCATGTTTCACAATTCTCTTTTGCTGATAGGCTGCTTAATGCTTAATTACTCCCCTTTAAGTTATCTTTTTTTTACCTAATTTAACTAGAAGATATATTGAGCTTACAGACATAAAAAAGGGGTTTTAAAGCATTCAACAATTGTATATTTGTTGTTGTTTTGAGCACTATGCATTTTAAATTGAATTAGCTGTTACACATTTTCCTGCCAAGAATTTGTTTTCATTGAATTTCCAATAGATACACCTTTTTCTTTTCTTTTTTACACAAACATGCCAAGTAGTTATTGCATTTAGTCGTAATCTCTAATGTGAATTTTTCTTTTTGCAAACGTCCAGATAATTTCTGCTTTTGTGGATAACTTAAACAGATGGATTCAGAAGTAAAGGCTCCCTCACAGACACAGATGTTACTAATATGTATTTTAATGATATTTACAAGTTTGGAAAGAATGCCAGATGCTCCCACAGCATCTCTTATCCAGGCACACCCTTAGTTTAGCCACAGTGGCACACTCATCTTACTGGCTCTTACCTTGTTGGGTATCCCTCACCATCAAACCCCTCAGACAACATGCTTTAGCTCTGGAGTCTGAGCCATCTGTCCTGGGACACTTGACCTGGTGAAGTGTGGGTGAAAAGACAACACAGTTGGCTCTTCTGAGCATATCATCTACGTGAGGGGTCACAGAAACCAATGACAAAGAAAAGTAAAATTCAGCAATTTGTCTTAAGAGTATTTGTTTTATTTTGTTGAAAACATCACAATAATGTGCTTTTCATATTCTGACAGTGAGTGTTAATGCACTTAAGGCTCGGTCATATGGTGATCCTCTGGACTTTTTAAAGTTTGATTGTAGTGCAATCCCTGAATGTAAGCATGTGGCAAAATTACTTACCAGAAAAGTAAAATAGAGAAGTGTAAAATATTATCCCTGATTGAGAGAAGGCTGAATGTCTCAGTCATTACTATGTGTATGTATGTTTGTATAAATAAATAAGTAAGAGCAGCTTAAACAGACACATTAAGTTCAGTAAAGGATTTCATGTGTCAACATTGTATGTGAAGAGATATACAGAGTCAAATCACGTTGTGGCTTTGATGTAATCACAGCCAACAAAGATAAACTAGTTTAATTTGAAGTTCAGCAAACCAAAGTACAATACCTCACTACATTTGATGTCATTTTCTCTAGCGTGTCCTCTCATGTCGCCTTAATCCTTTTTTCCATCTCTTTTCTCGGTAAGTTCGCAGTTTTTGTGTTCTTACTTAGCCCAAAATAGTTCAATTTGTGATTTTCACTGTTCCTTTTGAAATTGAACACAACACAAAGAGTTGGTTTCTTCATCTAAACCATTTTAGGATTCAACTATAAACTTCTGGATGATTCAGGCCAGGGTATACATTATTTATACATCATATACGACAATAAATAATATACAATATTTCACATGTAATTGTTCATTTCAGTTACAATTATGTTTTGTTATCTATAACAATAATACATATAATAATAACTGCCCAAAAAGGCATTCATACATCCAGATAACAGTATTTTCCTGTACACCTTCAACACAGGAAGTACATCTTCCTGTACAATGTTGACGACAAAAATCCCTAAATCATCATGTAAACTTTAAATATACTGTATTCTTGTAACATCATTTGTAAGTGTGCAATTATGAATTCTACAAAGTGCTTACAAAGAAATACATCACCAATATGGAAAACATTCAATTTACGTTTAATGTAGAGAAATAGTTAGTGCAAAAGTTGATTCAGCTCCAATCAGCAGAATTAAAAGCAGCCAAACAAGCAGGTCAAAGCTAAAGCAAAACTACTCTACTGTCATTGAAAAAAGTGCTTTGTAAAGAAACAAGCCTGAGATATACATAGAAATGGTGTTGTGTAAACAACATTTCTGGGGTTTTTTTCTGCACAGAATCATCAGAGTTGTAGAGCAGACAGGACGTCTGGTGAAGTGTCCGTCATTTTGAGTACTGGGCAAACGGAGAAGCCTCGTTCACTTTGCTCTGGAGAGATGAGAGTAAAAAGAAAAAAAGGCATTTAAAAGAATAAACCATTCAACGAGGTGTATGCTGATTTATATAAAGGTGTATTTTAGTATCCATTATCTGTCAACTATCTTGCATTTAGAATAACAGGTAGGTACAGTAGAGTGTATTTCGTCAGGAACTGGACTGATGATTGATGAACTCACACAAAAACATTTTGAGAAACAGTTAAAGACCTGCTTTGTAAATTGACAGACTACGAGTCTTCAAGAGCCTTCAGGTTTGGTCATCAATATGGCACTGATGGGTAACTCCTCTTCAGTGTGGCATTTAAATGTTTATTTAAGGATCAATAAATAAATACCAAGCGAGGATGTGTTTGGTTCTGTTAGCGCCACGTAAGCTCAACATGCAGGAAAAATTAAGATTTTCACTAAATAACACTTACATACACAGCTGCCTTCTTAAATACAGAATGAAACCTCATCTACTTATCACCTGCTCATCTTGCATACTCAGCTGAGTTTGTGTTTGCACCTACATGATGTTGGCCATGTATTGTATGTGCTGCTGTGTATGTTAAAATGAAAAACTCTTCTAATTCATGTCCTGAAAACGGCTTCTTTTAATGTGGCAATAAAGATTTAGAGATAGCTGGAAACTGTTTTGCCTATGTCTCCAGTTTTTCACACGGTGCAGGCCTGATGCTTGGTCACACTTTTCATTTGAAATACAACTGAAGACTCCAGGATGCTGACGCACTGATGCCGTGCTGATGATAAGCTTTCCTTTCTGAAGAAAACACCTAGTCATTCCATTCTCACCACATAATGTGCTAATTCTGAGACTTTGCCACACACTTATAATCTGGTTAGGCTTTCCTGTTAGTGTAAACCAGAGAGCAGCAAACCACTGTGTTCACTGCAGCGGGGGAGAAGTTAGAAGATAGTTGTTGAAAACTTTTTAATGTCAGCTGTTATACACTGACAGCGTTTACAGACGTCATGCATAAATGTTGACTAGTTGCATCTTAAGGACTGAATGGCAGACAACTTTGAAAGACAAATACTTATTTTAGGTCCTGAGCACTTAAGGCCAATTTCAGCCTGCTCTTGACACCTTAGCTCAACATGTTGTACATACGGTTAAGAACCGTCGTGTTTTTTTAGGCTAGCTCAGTCTCACTGAGAAATTCGCTAATTGTATTTTTCCTTATGTCTCCTGATCTTCAATGAGTTATTCATGCTTTTGTCTTATCTTGATTTTTGACAAGTTATGCTTACATGCCTTTATTAGCAGCTTCAGGGCCTTACGGTGAAGAAAAATAAGTGGTTTTGTGTTAACAAAATAGCCCTTGCTCGCCTGTGGAACGTATGTCTATACATGCTTTGAAAGGTCAGCGGTAACAGAGGTCAAAGCTGAAATTATTCTAACTTTGGGTGCACTCACTGTTTGCTGGCAATTTCTCTTGATGCTAGCTGGGATTGTGTGTTACAAGAGACTGCCAAGAGGTGTGAGCAGATTTAACTATCCTATAAGCTGCTCTTTAAAAATTACAATACTGAGCCATTGACCAGATTTTGTTGGTCAATTGTGTAATTGCCTTTTACTGTTCACCATCTTACACTGCTGTGTTGGCTTGCTGACATTAACAGTAATTATTAGCACTAATGTCATAAATTGTGCAGAGTTGAAACGTATATAGGTGGTAATGTCGCTCGATAAAAAAAATGAAGGGATCACAAAGAGTTGAAAATAAATGGGAACTATGAATCTACTAAATATGAATCACAGTACATTCCAATATCATCTGATAGATATGCTGCTGGAGAGGCTAAACATAGAAAGATTGGATAACAATTTGATAGTGAGAAAAAAGACAGAAATCTAACTTGCCATCGGCACGTCTTCGAGCCTCTTGAAGTTGGACCTTTGTGATTTGGTACATTTTACGATGACAACAACTAGCAGAAGGATAAGGACAATACAGAAGATGCAGAGTATTGCAACGAGGCCCGGATTTCTTTCCAAGTCAGCTTTTGTCCATTCAGGTGAAAGACCTGAGGGGGAGACAAACCAAGAAGTTCCTTTGTTACTTACTCGACAAACTGGATTTATCATTTCTGCTTCAGTAAAAAGAAAAAAGGTGTTTAAACTGAAATAATTGCAAGCAAAGAGCTCCTAAAGAGAAACCTGCGGAGGTCAACATGTTGGCAGTTTTGAAAGCATCTTTAAAGTTGCTTAAATTATAATGATTTTCAGCCTGTAATTTTACTGGTGAAAGAAACGCCACTCAGCTCAGATATCTTTTACATGCAGGAAACAGCCATTATGGGACCATATCTATATAAGTTACATTTTGTTGAAAGCTTTTAGTTATGTCATATTTTTAGAAGTCTATTTTTATTTCTAAGACTGACCTTGGCTGGTTGTGTTTACAGTGGAGGCTGCAGTGACGTTTGTTGAGCCTGATGCTGGTGGGAGTGTCACTTCGTGGGAAACTGTCTCGTTAGACGTGGTGTTGGTTGTTATTGTCTGAGGAGGAGTGACACTGGGATGAGTTTCCTCTGTCCTGTTGGGAGTTTGTGAAGAAGTCTGCAGTGATGCTGTGGACCCTGTTTTTGTAGTGACTGCAATGGTATTCTGTAGTGTTGTTGAAGGAGGCAGTTCTGTGTTGGTGGTGGCTGCCACACCGGCACTATTCTTCTCTGCAGCCAAACTTGTGTGGTGAGCAGCACTTGTGGTTATCTCGGTCACCAGTTTGACTGAGGAGGAAATGGAAACAAACAGCATAAAAAGCTCTGTCCGGTTGCACATTATGTACACCTGATCAAGACAATGCTGGAGTGTTTGTTGGATAAACAATGTCTCTGTTTTTACCCAATCGTGGATACAATTTCAACACAAGGTTCATCCTTTTCCCATATCCATTGTTTGTGAGGGTGAAACAAAACAAAAAACATTCATCATGAGTAATTGGTTGAGTATTCAATTGTAACGTCACTAAAGGGAGGTTCTTCCCGTTTTAATTTCTTCAAAGCATCCCACCGTTAGAGAAGCAGGGATTTTCAGCCGCTCTTATAAGAAATATGCCATCAGGTGTAATATTTGTTTCATCAATAAGAGTGGGCACACACTGTAGTACTTTAAGCCTCATAGCCATTGTTACAGCAGGCTCATAGGACACAAAACCATTACAAGTTTGAACCATTTCCACCTTTAATGTTTCAGTCCAATAAGTTGGTGACTTTTTGACTAATTTGACTATTGCACATTTGCATCGCTCCATCATAAATATGCAGTAGTTCTAAGCATGAGGCAGAATATGACCACCAAATCAATATTTTAATTATGTTTGATGTTTCTATTCAATCTTTATTTCTAACAGATTACAGAGTAACAAATACAAAATACAAAATGTGAAAAACAGAATACTGTATTGTTAGAATACAGTATTTATCAATATTCATAATGTTTATATATTCAACAAAAATATTAATAATAATAAATCATGTGTCCGAAAGGGAGCAGGAGGAAGCAAATGCTTATTAATTCCCACCCCTTACTGCTAATCAATGATTATCCTTTAAATCATTTCTGCAAGTTATTCCTACTCACATCTTTACATTTATACATACATGTACAATAATTTCTCATCTTCAATCACCTCTCTTCATTCTCATAGTTTTCCAAAAAAGTGTTTCTGTACATCCTTTTAAACTGAATTATATTTGTGCTTTGTTTTAACTCCTGTTCCAAACCATTCCATAAGATTGTTATGCACATACTTCTCAGAGTTGTTCTGACCTTGAGTTGTTTCAAATGTAGATTTCCTCTCAAATTATACCCACCCTCTCTGTCTATGAACAATGCTTGTAATTTCTTAAGAAGTAGATTATTTC